AACGGAGACGTAACAATAATTTAGTAATATTTTCAGTCTTGGGGTCATATTAGCGATGATTTATGACGATTGTGCAAACAATCTGAGCTAGGAAAATTGCTCAGAGAATTAGCTGACGTGTTCATGTGATCAGATAGCCAATTGTGTTTGACAAAACCACGTCATCACATATATACAGATGACATGCATCTGATAAAACAATCCCACTACAAATATCCTTGGAGCACCAGGTATGCTCTCAGCACAGAAAGAGTAGATGTTGAATTATTGAGTAGTACAACATTCAGAGAGAGAGCTTGGTTGTCTCCAGTGGTGATTTCAAAAGTAATGAAGGAATTACTTCAGACAGATGAACACAGTAATGTCAGTTTTGATGCCTTTCATTTACTTATGCACATAGGAATGTTTCGAAATGTCGGCAGTTGTCCATTGGTTTATTACACTATATTTGGCTTTTAGATACTGGCAAATTGAACTGGATGATAAAAGTTGACCCAAGGCTGCTTTCAGCATTCAGAAAAATACGTACTGTGTCATGCCATTCAGTCTGTGTCGTGTGCCTGCCATTTTTAGACAGGCTATTGGAGCTTACAATGGGAGAGACATTAAAAGCTGTAGCTGGAACTTATGGATGCATGCTCATAAAAGTGCATCTTTTCAGTCACATAGGTTAGTAGATACAGTTTTGAGAGTATTCATACTTGTACCTGAATACTTTGGTATGGAAAATTAACGTATTCTTATTCGAATACTATAACATCTTATTCATATTCGCTGAATGATTTAGTGAATAATTAATATTGTAAGAGTAAATGTCAATTTTTATACTCATCAAATTTCAAGACTCATTATTACATCCACAGCACATTAAATCAGGTCGATACTCTCTAACTGCCTTAAAAGTTATTGTATTACATGTTTATTAATCCAGTCAAGTAACTTGCGATAATTTCAGGTGGCTACCAAACTTCTTGGTGTTTCACTAGACCTATGATCTATGAATCCAATTGAATGTTTCTGCAGCAAGAAGTCAAGAAATTTTCTTCAACAAATAATCCTACAACCATGGAACCAAAAGAGCACTTAACCCCCCCCCCTCGCAAAAGAAGTAAGATTTTTAGTTTCTTTCTTACCACCAAGAAACCAGCCATCTCATCTTCAGAGGATACAGAGATCAACACCTACCTCGATAGTCCTTGCACTCCTGAAGAAAGCAACTCTCTAGATTATTGAAAGATTCATGAAAAAACCTTTCCTACCTTATCTCTACTAGCCAAACGCTACCCGAGTGTTCCAGCATCCTCTGCCTCCTTTGAACGTTTGTTTAGCAGCAGAGGCAAAACCATCAGAGGTAATCGCTGTTGCCTCACTGACAAGACATTTGAGAGACTGGTGCTGTAAAAAACAATGGATGGATATAATATCCATAAGTCTCCTTTAAAAATAAATTTTTTGTTCTAAAACTTTGTTATTGCATTTTGAAAAATAGAAGTATTGTAATGTTATTTGTTAAAATTCTGTTTTAATTTCTAACAGGTTTGTTTCATAAAAGTATTGAAATATTATCGTCTGCTATTTTATCATTTTATTTTATTTCTATATATTCGTATTTATATTTGAATACTTAGCATTTTTCTTGTATTTGTATTCATAAGAATATGAAGTATTTGTATTCCATTACTGAACTCCATTATTCGCCCTGTTACGTCTCCGTTTGTTAACTTATTTTTCCGTAACTTCGTTCCGACGAAACTTTAACGACACAAGTCCTTACTTAATAAAACTGGTTTATTCTTTCCGAATATACTTTACGATACACTTAATTTCAATATTCGCGCTAAAACAAACACTATAACGAACGAACGTTAACTTCAACAATACGTCTCTCTCTGACCGCAGTTCAATTACTCATTAGCTACACACACATTACCG